CTTGGCATCTTCCTAACCAGAGACGTGAAAGACCTTTACAATGAAAATTACAAAACACTCCTCAGAGAAATCAAAGATGACACAAACAAGTGGAAAAATATCCCCTGCTCATGGACTGGAAGAATCAACATTGTGAAGATGTCCATCCTACCTAAGGCAATCTACAGATTTAATGCAATACCCATCAAATTACCAGCAACATTCTTCTCAGACCTAGAAATAACAACACAGGAATTCATATGGAAACACAAACGACCAAGAATAGCCAGAACAATCCTCAGCCAAAAAAAAAAGAAAAAACAAAGCAGGTGGTATCACATTACAAGACTTCAAACTTTACTATAAAGCTACAATCATCAAAACAGCTTGGTATTGGTATAGGAACAGGCATATAGACCAATGGAATAGAATTGAGATTCCAGAAGCAAAATCTCAATTTCTCAACCAACTCATCTTCGACAAAGCCTCCACCACCTACCACTGGGGAGAGAAGAACCTATTCAGTAAACGGTGCTGGGGAAACTGGCTGACCACATGCAGAAGATTGAAACAGGACCTCTATCTATCCCCATACACAAAAATTAACTCCAAATGGATCAGAGACCTAAATTTTAAACCTTAAACCATAAGAACCTTAGAAAATGAAGGACATATCCTCATGGAAATTGGAACTGGCATCCAATTCCTGAACAAAACCTGAAACCCACAGGTCATAAGAGATAAGATAGACAAGTGGGACCTCATTAAACTGACAAGCTTCCCCAAAGTCAAAGAAACCATCAAGAGAGCCAGGAGACAGCCCACAGACTGGGAAAAAGTATTTGCCAACTCCAGGTCTGACAAAGGCTTAACATCTTGGATCTACAAGGAACTCAAAAGTGCTGAAAAGAAAAAAACAAACAACCCCATTATAAAATGGGCAAAAGATATGAACAGACACTTCACAAAGGAAGACATCCGAGCAACCAACAGACACATGAAGAAATGTTCAACCTCACTAATCATCAGGGAGATGCAAATCAAAACCACACTGAGATACCACCTAACTCCAGTCAGAATGGCAATTATCAATAACTCAAAAAATAACAGCTTCTGGAGAGGGTGTGGCAAAAAGGGAACTCTTCTACACTATTGGTGGGAATGTAAACTAGTGCAACCTCTGTTGTAAGCAGTGTGGCGATTCCTAAAAGCTCTAAATATCAACCTTCCGTATGACTCTGCAATCCCCCTACTGGGAATATACCCTGAAGAACTCAAATCACTCTATCAAAAAGAACCTGCACACGTATGTTCATCGCAGCATTGTTCACAATACCAAGAACCTGGAAGCAACCATGCTGTCCATCAAAGGAGAACAGGATGAAAAAAATGTGGTACATATACACGATGGAATACTACGCAGTCATAAAAAAGAACAAAATCATGAATTTTGCAGCAACCAGATGGAACTAGAGTCTATAATACTGAGTGACCTCTTACAGAAACAAAGATCTGAGTATCACATGTTCTCACTTATATAGTGGACCTTGATTATCCAACATATTACCATAAGAAAATGACAGTGGTGGGAAACTATGGGAGGGGAGGGGAAGGGAGATGGGATTAATGGTAGTAAATATCTGTCTGGATAGAGAGACACCTCTTATCAACAAGGGTGCCTGAACGAAGCATATTTGTATACCTAACCCTTAACTGTACCCCACAATATCATAATAAAAAATATTGATTATTAAAAAAAAAAAAGATGTGGAGCAACAGGAATTCTCATTCATTGTTGGTGGGAATACAAAATATTACAGTTTGATAGTTTCACACAAAACTACACTCATACCATATGATCCCACAATCACAGTCGTTAGTATTTACCCAAGGAGTTGAATCTGCACATGATATGTGTAACTTTATTCATAGTTGCCAAAAATTTGAAGTGGTCAAGATGTCTCCCAGTAGGTGTGATGGTTAGTTTTTGGCGTTACCTTTACTGGGTCAAGGGATGCCAAGAGAGCTAGTAAAGCATTACTTCTGGGTAGGTCTGTGAGGGTGTTTTCAGCAGAAACTGGCATTTGAATTGGTGAACTGAGTAAGAAAGATCCATTCTGACCCAATGTGGATGGGCACTATCCAATCCACTGAAGCCCAGAATAGAAAAAAAAGGAAAAGGAAAGTGAAATTCACTCACTCTCTCCTTTAGAGTTGGGACATTCATTTCTTCCTGGTCTTAGACATAAGAACTATAGGTTCTCATGGCTTTGGAATCCAGGACTTGCCCCAGCAGCCCCCCACCCCCCGCCCCATTCTCAGGCCTTCAGTTTTGGACTGAGAGTTCCACCACCAACCTCCCTAGTTCCCAAGCTTGGGACTGTATTACACTACCATCTCCCTGGGTTTCTAGCTTACAGACAGCACACTGTGCAACCATAATTGCCTGAGCCAATTTCTATAAGTCCCATCTTATATATCTAAACTCTATTCGTTCTGTTTCTCTGAAGAACCCTGATTAATACATTGGTAAGTAGATATTATTCAGCACTAAAAAGAAATAAGCTATTATTTTTTCTTCAATTTGGGATCTCATTCTGTAGCCCAGGCTGGGTTGCAGTGGCATGATCATGGTTCACTGCAGCCTCAAACTCAAGTGATCCCATGCTTCAGCCTCCCAAATAGCTGGGACTACAGATGTGTGCTATTATGCCTGGCCAATTTTTTGACTTTGTATAGTAATGGGATCTCGCTATGTTGCCTAAGCTAATCTTGAACTCCTGGGCTCAAACAAGTCTCCCACCTCAGCTACCCAAAGTGCGGGTATTAGAGGGGTGAGTCACCACGCCCAGCCAAAATGAGCTAGTGAGTCATGAAAGACATAGTAGAATCTTAAATACATATTACTAAGTGAAAAAGTCAATCTGAAACATACTGTATGATATTCAACTGCATGACATTCTGGGAATGGCAAAACTATGGAGGTCAGTGACAGCCAGGGGTTGGGGTAGGAGGAATAAACAGGCAGAGCGCAGAGGATTTAGGGCACTAAAAAGACAGTGTATGATACTATGTATATGATACTATGATGGTGGATACATTCATTATAGCTAGGCAAGAAAGATCCATCTCATTGTTAGACAAGTGGACTCAGTCCACCCGTCCAGTGACTTTCTTCCTCTTTCTCTCCCATCAATGCAGTTGAGGCCTGTGTATGAATTTAAGAGAGGCTCCTATTGGGATAAAAAAGAGAATCTAGAGGCTGAGATAAGTATGCTAGGTATAAACCGAGGCAAGACCTATAGGACAAGACAGAGACTGGGACAGCAAGAGCCCTAACAGAATAAGGCTGCACAGCTGTGGGTAGACAGATGGAAACACAGCAGTACACAACCCAGAGTTGCCTTTTGCTGACACTAAAGCAAACTGTGTGGCTTCATGCAATGGATATACCAGCTCACGGTGTGACAGACTGCTCTCTCACACCCTGTAGTGATCCCCGTGTGTGCCTGTGATCCAGGTTCCAGTTAAAATATCACATATGTATATTGTCTAAAACTACCAATTGTCTAAGCCCCTAACAACTGGAAAAACTAACATAATGTTTTAAAAATCTAAAATAAACATTAAAGAAACTGAGCTCTGTTACTTCCCTTTTATGAAGCGCTTCCAGTAAGCTAACATGGTCTCATTTCACTGATACCAATGATTAAAATTAGGATGATAAGTTATATAATACTTCAGTTAACTATAACACTTCAATTTCTAAATTATTTATAAACTTAATTTTCTAGTAAAGTGAGCATTAAATGTATCTGTGCCTATAGAACTATTCTACAGTCTATGAAAAGCCACACTTTGGAAGCTTATTCATAAATTAGCAATTCAGGATTTCAAAAGCCCGTCTCCAAAGGGAATAGCTGGAAAAGTGGTTTGTCTCCCAGCACAACCGAAACTTCCATTTCCTAGCGCAGAGCTCTGCAACACTTTATCTATTTAGCTCATAAAACAATGGACAAATATAGTTTTTGTAGCTGATTTAAAACTCAAATACAATTCACAGGAGAGTCTACAGAAAATGCAGAGCATGTCTCATGCCAAAAACAATTCATGGTAGCACAAACCTTTGACTGGAAAAGCAGCCCAAAGAACATACTTGTAGTCAGCAGTCCATGTGCTAACAGGTTACCCAGAAAGGAGAAAATAATGTACACCTCTCAGAAGCTCTGGAGGAACTTCCCATTCCCAGCAGGGACGTTTTGGACGGGGAATCTCATCCTAGGAAATACCCATGGTTTCAAAAATGCAGCAACCACAATAAATAATGTCTAGTTTTAAAACCATATAAAATAAGTTTATATGACACCCCTTTTCTAGAGCAGAATTTTGCAAATGACAGTTTTGTTTTGTTTCTGAAGACTAAACTAGTAAGCAAATTAAACATAAGCAAAAAAGACTTTGCCAACACAAACTTTTCTATCTTAAAGTCTCTTAACTACCTGGGTGTAAGCAGCAGAAACAAAAACATAGACTTATACAGTCCCAAAGAATAATGAGCAGCTCTGGATGATCATATCTGGAGAATATCTGCTTTACCTTTCAATGCTATCCTCTTCCAAAGTAATTTCCATGAATGTCTTTAGTTTTCTGTGAACAGTGGCTGCAACCTCCTTTACTTTTGAACTTTTATGTTTACCTGGGAAGATTTTAATAAAAGACAGAGAAAAGATTTTAACATTTCTACACAAAACAAACACACTCTGCTCTACATGTGGGTACAATTTCCCTAAGTTGAGCCTTTTCTAGCTGAGCCTTTTCTAACTTCCCTTCAAGGTAACCTATCCTACTGTTTGTGGAATAGTAATTAACTCTTTTACAGGGGCGTTGTAAAGATCAAACACATATTTATGAAAGTACCTCATTGGCAGTGAAGAGCTCATTTGGACCTACTGTGTGAAGCCATTACAGGATATGTTCTGTCTGTGCCATCAAACTGATGCTTACATGCACCTCTAACAAAAGGACAAAACTCATGCTTCAGAGACATCCCCCTGTTAAATATCAGGGGTATTTAAGGACCTACTAAGTGCCAAGCACTCATCAGCATCCAACCTCCATCCCCACATCCTCCTTGTGGAGAGTCCCTTACTCTAGATCTCAACTCAGGGAGGAATGGAAGTGGCCTCAGGGAACTCTTTTCTGTGGAAAACTAGTTAGAAGCGTCCTTATCAATCTGAAGATATGGTGTGTAATTAGGCTTATGGAAAGATTTTGTTTTGATAGGCGCATTCTCTATCTACAATATATTACCTCTGAAAATGATTTCAACATTAGTAAGACTGAGCAAATAATATAGAAACTTAAATGTAGTCAAACTGCAAAGATGTTACTTTATTTTATACTGAGGTAAACTTCTTACAGGTATTTTCAATTATTTTTCCAGAACTGTTTCAACTGGTTGAGATATCTAGAATAGGTATGGTTAATATTTAAGAGAAACAGTAGATAGACTAAATATATACATATATATATATATTTTTTTTTGAGTTGGGGTCTCACTTCATTGCCCAGGCTGGAGTACAGTGGCACCCTCACAGCCACCCCAGCGTCGACCTGCTGGACTCCAGCGATCCTTCTGCTTCAGCCTTCCAAGTAGCCGGAACCACAGGCACACGCTACCATGTCTGGTTAATTTTATTGTAGAGATGAGGTCTCACCAAATTGCCTGGGCTGGTCTCGAACCTGTGGCTCGGGCAAACCACTCGGCTCGGCCTCCCAAAGTGCTGGTATTACAGGCTGAGTCACGAAGCCCAGCTGATAGATTAAATATTAACACCAAAATGTCCATGATAAACAGAATAAGTTTGGTTTTTAAAATATAGGTAATACATGACAAATCAATATAAGTCCAATTCAGAAGCATAGAGAAAAATACTTAAGTGGTCCAATAGCACAAGGTGAACAAGAAAAACTACACCACAGGAGACGAGCAAGCGACTAGAAACAGGCACAGGGTTAGCTAAAAAAAAAGAAGCCCAGGTAGACAGCACTTCACACAGAGCCTGAGAGAGCATGAATAGAAAGGCTGTGGGAAGCCCAGGCTGCAGGGTGTGGTCAAGCACAGGGGCTAAGTTCCCAAACATCTCACAGCAGTATGTGAGGAGCACCCATCAAGATCTCAGACACAGAAGAGAAACGCAACTAACCTTTATTAATAACCAAAATAATATGCACAACAGCTGTGAGGCACACAATGCCTTCAATGTCATCAGAAGTCACACATGCCTTTAACTCATCCAAAAATGATCTGTAAAAAAATCAACATCTAAAATTACTAAGTAGTATAAACCCTAATATTGAAACCTAATAGAAAGACAATATAGTCAAGATTCATCAACAAACAAAAACTCCAGTTTCCAGGTAACACAGGAACTTTTTACTGAAAGTATGCCAAATCACATAGGTGAGACATTAAAACCAGACAATGTTGCTAGGAGAATAGGAATGTCATGGAACGTGAAATAAGGTACTCTATACGCTCAGTACACCCAAGACCTAATGTCTTGTTGAAGAGTAACTCATAGCTGCTAAAGATGATACTTTTAAAAATGTTTATTGAACATATCTGCTGTCAAAGCTCCACAGGTACCAGTCGTCTGCAAAGTGACTTCCTCTGTAACCTGTCACTCTTGACTGGGAATTTAGTCGAGTAACACATAGACTGGAGAAATGAGTAGCAGTTGAGTATTGAACGAAAACAACATTTGTGTTTAACCTAGACGAGTGCTTTTGAAAGCACACACAGTAAAAAGTACAGTATTAGCCATTACCATTTTACATTTCTCCCTTAATGAAATCTTAGCTTTGATAAACATAATGAAGGACTATTTCATGAATATACTTTACAGAAAATTAGAATTTTTGTTTTTGCAAGTTTAATTTTAATCACTGATAATATATAGAGAAAAGTCTATAAAAAGTGATTACCTGACCACGTTCGAAGACTTTATTATTATTCCTATTAAACACCTTGAAAATGGTGGAAGATCAGAAAGACACTCTGGAGAGGTAAGCTCTTCCACATCAGAAACCTAAAAAGAGTTGTAAATCAATCAGTTGTAAATCGAAATGGGGTTAATCACTTACTTTACATTGCTTTAGGTTTCATTCAACACCTGAGAAAAGCTTTCCAGAAATCAAAGTATTCCTCTCTATGCTTCCAGAAATTAAAAGAATTACTTTTATTAACTGTTGTGATGTCTACAATAATTATGGATAAGCTATTGTTATAAGCAGGGGTGTCTTATTTAGTGAGACAGAAATAAAGAAAAAGACATGTCACTCAATAACCCTTTTGTCAAATAGTCTTTAATTCGTTACCATCTACTGTAAATAATTTGTTTTTATGCTAAGCAAATCTAAGTCTATAATCTTGTTGGTCAGGATTAGCGCTTCTCAGTCTCAGCACCACTGACATATTGGACTGGATCATTCTCTGTGGTGGGAGCTGTGCTGTGCATTATAAAATGGCTGAGCAGCATCCTAGGCCTCCAACCACTCTGTGCTAGCAGCACACCCCCCCCACACCAGTTGTGACAACCAAAAACGTTCCTATACATCCCTAGTGTGCCTGGAGGGGCAGACTCCTCACAGACACCTACCACTGATCTAGAGCCACAAGAGCCTACCTGGACCTGTGCTCTTATTATCAAGCCATTCATCACTGATGAATAAATTCCACATGCAGATGGCTCCAGGCAAAGTCTAAATTCAGAATTCCTGTTCCAGGCAGAGGCCTACACCTTTGTTTTCCACTCATAATAGGTGAGGCATGAATAAGCCTATCCCACTCCCCCATCTCTCTACCACTGTCTTTTGCCTAAATCTTGGCTATCTAGGACAACTCCATTTAGGTATGCCTAAACGGCATTTTTAATAACAACACTTCTGCTAGAATCATAATACAAATTTGGATATTAAAGTTAATCATCATCATATACAAAATAACACTTTCCCATTAGCATGGGAAATAAAATAAATATTGTAAATGTATTTCCTATACAGTAAGAAACTTTAGGAACTATACAAATACATGGAAATTAAACAGCATCCTCCTGTGACATTTTGCATATGTACAGAAAGATCACTAGGTCAATGAAAAAATTAAAACAGAAATTTTAAAAGTATTTAAAATGAATAAAAATGAAACCACAACCTACCCAAACTATGGAATACAGCAATATCAGTGAAAGGAGGGAAGTTTGTAGCACTACATGACTACACAAAAAAAGTAGAAAGATCACAAATTAACAATATAAGATTGCACCTCAAGAAACCAGAAAAGCAAGAACAAAACAAACTCAAAGTTAGCAGAAGAAAATAAACAACAAAGATCAGAAGATAACTAAATTAAATAGAAACAAACAGAGGATTTCTGGCAAGATGGTGACAGAATAGGCTGGACTGAGTCTCCACAAAAACAAGTGTTCAAAAATACTCTCGGCGTGAGTGGCTGTGTGCCGGTGGGTGAGTGAAAATCTGTCTGCGGAGAGACTCGGGTTCATGCACCTGGGGTTTCCCTCGGGAGGTGACTGCAACACCCCACCACCCTAAGACAGGAGTCCACAGCGCGCAGGATCGTCTGCTGTTCTCAGGGCTCTACTGAGAAGAGACAGCAGAAAGCAGCTGCTCCTTACCACCTGGCACAGGCCCATACCATCACCTGTGACAGCAGAGCGGCATGCAGCCCCAGAAGCAAGTCGTGCAAAGCTGAAGAGGAGCCCTGCCATGAGTGAGGAAATGGCAACTGGAGCCATTTTCTCTGTCCTGGGACCAGGCGGACATCTGCATTGCCCCACCCATCTCCACCCAGCCTCCAACCTGGGGCCTAGAGGTAATCTCCTCATCAAATTCAGAGAGACAGAGGCCCCTCGCCCACTCTGGAACAGGCACAGACACGCCAGATCTGAGTGGGAGACTTGATAGCAGTGGGAGCAAGTTGGGGGGCAAATATATACCTCCACTGCATGGACAGATTGCAAGGTAGTGGGAAATGGATTCTAGGGGCCCTCACACCTATTAGCAGATACTGGGATCTGCATAATTTCTGAATCACAGTTCCCCCTCAATTAAATCTCAATACTTCAAAAAGTACAGCCCACCCCCCACCCCCAGTCCAGCTTCAGAATTGAACAAAGCCAGAGGATCTCCATAAGGAAGAATAGGAGACTGAGCAAACAGAAGTAAAAAGCTACCCTTCTCATCCCTGAAGAACAGAATTAAAAAAGAGGAAAAAAAAGAGAGGGAGGAAAATCTACACAAATGAAGAAGAACCAAAGGAAGAATATGGGACTCACACAGACCTCTGTGAGGTCAACTACTCAGAATACAGACCTCAGAATGCAAACAATGAGGAGCCCCTAGAATGACTGGTCTCAAACCACAAACCCAGATATCAAGATATTAGTAGAGAGACTAAATAGAAATGAGGAGAGACAAGAGGAAAGACTGAAGGAGCTGATAACTAAGATAACAGCAATAAAGAATACAGTGAATGAAATAACAAACTGATAAGCATGGAAAGCAGAATTAACCAAGCAGAAAAAAGAATCTCAGAGCCTGAAGACCAAAATATGGTACTAACCCAAACTGTCAAAAACACAGACAAGAGCTGGGTTTGGTGGTTCAGCCTGTAATTGCAGCACTTTGGGAGGCCAAGGCGAGTGGACTGCCTGAGTTCACGGGTTCAAAAACAGCCCGGGCAACTTGGCAAGACCTCGTCTCTACAATAAATAAAAACTAGCCAGGCATAGTCGCACACGCCTACAGTTCTGGGTACTTGGAATGCTGAGGCGGAGGGATTGCAGGAGTCCAGAAGGTCGACACTGGGATGGCCATGAGTGTGCCACTGCACTCCAGCCTGGGCAACAGAGTGAGACTCCAACTCAAAAAAACCAAACAAACATAAAAGAAGCTTAAAAAGACAGGACAAAACCTCCGAGAGATGAGCTATTAAATCAAGATTCTGAACCTAAGATTAATTGGAATTCCTGAGGCAGATAGACAGAGACCACCCTGGAACAAACATTCCATAAAATTATTCAAAAAAATTTCCCTCATCTCATCAGAGACATGACCATTCAAACGTAAGAGATTCAGAGAACCCCTGCAAGACAATAAATGAGAAGACCAACTTCTAGACACATAGTAATTCACCTACACAAAGTAGGTATAAAAGAAAAAATCCTAAAGGCAGCAAGACAGAAAGGTCATACTACCTACCAGGAAAGACCAGTTAGCACAGCAGCAGACTCATCGATAGAAACACTTCAGGCTAGGAGACCTTGGAGTCCAATCTTCAAAGTTCTCAGAGACAAACAATTTCAACCAAGAATTACCTACTCAGCTAAGCTAAGCTTCATCAGTGATGGAGAATTAAAATCCTTCCCAGACATTCAATCCCTAAGAGTTTATGCTGCCTCAGACCAGCTCAACAAGAAACACTTAAGTATTAAACACAAAAGAAAGGAAAAAAAGAACAACAACGCCCTAACCAATAATGGAGGAAAAAGATCAAAAACACACATGAATCAACCCAAAAATCAAAAGAAAGACAACAAACTTTAACAAATAGCAGCAACAACAACAAACTCTATAAGAACCTCGTGACAGGGATAAACTCTCACATCTCAATAATTAGCCTAAATGTGAATGGAAAAACACAGAATGGCAAAATGGATAAAATATGAGGCAGCAATGTATTGTCTCCAAGAGACTCATCTTAGCAGAAAAGACACACACAGACTCAAAGTAAGAGGATGGAAAACAAAATTTCAGGTGAACGGAACACAAAAGAAGCAGGAGCCCCAATCTTAATATCAGACAAATACCCTTTAAGCTCTCAAAACTTTAAAAAGAGGCCAGGCTCAGTGGCTCAGTCTATAATCTCAACACTTTGGGAGGCTGAGGCAAGTGGATTGCCAAAGCCAGGCCTGGCAACTCGGCAAGACTTCATCTCTGCAATAAATAAAAAATTAGCTGGGTGTGGTAGCGTGCGCCTGTAGTTCCAGTTATTTGGAAGGCTGAGGCAGAAGGATCGCTGGAGCCCAGCATGTTGACACTGGGGTGGCCCTCAGTGTGCCACTGCACTCCAGTCTGTGCAATGGAATGAGACTCCAACTCAAGAAAAAAAAAATTAAAAAGATACAGAAAGCCGGGCTTGGTGGCTCAGCCTGTAATCCCGCAACTTTGGGAGGCTGAAGTGAGTGGATTGCCGGAGCCTGCGGGTTCGAGACCTGCCTGGGCAGCGAGACATCATCTCTACAATAAATCAAAAAATCAGTCGGGCGAGGTAGCGCATGCCCGCAATTCTGGCTACTTAGAAGGCTGAGGCGGAAGGATCGCCAGAGCCCAGCAGGTTGAGGTTGCGGTGGCTGGGAGCAGCCACTGCACTCCAGTCTGGGCGATAGAGTGAGACTCCAACTCAAAAAAAAAAAAAAAAAGATACAGAAGGTCACTACATAATGATAAAAGGTTGAATCCATCAACAAGAAATATCCATCCTAAACATATACGAACCCAACATAGGAGCACCAACTTTCAGAAAGCAGCTTCTAGGTAAACTTAAAAAAGACATTGACGCTGGGCTCAGTGGCTCAGCCTGCAATCTCACGCTTTGGGAGGCTGAGGTGAGTGGATTGTGGGGTTCGCGACCCGCCTGGTCAACTTGGTGAGACCTCATCTCTACAATAAATCAGAAAATTAGCTGGGCATGGTAGCACATGCCTGCTTGGAAGTTCCAAGCAGTTCCAGCTGCTTGGAAGGCTGAGGCGGAAGGATCGCCAGAGCCCAGCAGGTTAAGGCTGCAGTGGCCAGGAGCGGCCACTGCACTCCAGTCTAGGCAACAGAGTGAGGCTCCAACTAAAAAAAAAAAAAAAAAAAGGCATTGACTAGAACACTGTCATACCTGGGGACTTAGATAGCCAATTCACAACCCTAGACAGATCATCGAGGCAAAAAATCAACAAGGAGATCTGGAACCTCAACGTGACACTTGATCAAACAGACTTAATTGATACCTACAGAACACTCC